CCCTTGAGGAGAAATCATGCTTTTCACCTGTCTATCTCTATAGCACATTACCTGGCACCAAAGTAGGCATTTGAACAAATATTTGATGATGATGAGACACTGGACTGGGAGTAGGAGATTTGGGTTTTAATCCTGATTCTCTTTAATGACCTTATTTAAATCACTTAATCTTTATGGGCTTCAGTTTCCTTATCTGTAAAATGAGGTGACTGGGAAAAGTTAGATGCTTTCTAAGGCCACCTTCCATTTATAACATTCTGTGATTCTACGACATATTGGTCATCAAAGAACACAGACAAATCAGATAAAAAACATGTGATCTTGGCCAAAAATCTGGCTAGTAACTGGGTACCCTACTAGACAATGTCAGATACATAAAAAGGCCTCGTGGTGCAGTAGATAGAGTTCTAAACTTGGAATGAGAAAGAGATGAAAATCCTACCTCAGACACTTACTAGCTTTTTAACCTTGGAAGATGTCAGTGCTTAGCCCCAGCACTTAAGCACTGCACCTCAGATGGATAGGTGCTTAATAAATGTTTAGTGATTGACTAATTAAATTCAGTTAGCTTCCCTCAGCTTTAGTTTCCTCATCTCTAAAGTTGAAATAATAACACCTACTTCACAGTGTTGTGAAGATCAGACAAGATAATGTATATAAACCTTAAAGCACTACACGAATGTGAGCTATTGTCATTATTATACAAAACTTATAAGACATGGCCCATTTACATGTAAAGACATAATTGTAATACAATATAAATGGCTATAAGTGACATAGAGATATAGATGACAAAGACAATAAGAAAAAGAGAATATTATGTGTGTGTGTATGTAATTTCACCTATCATAGCTTACTTTACTCTGAAGTACCATAGCCAAAAGCCTTGCAACTAGATTATTTTAAAACCATTACCACTATTAAAATTGATCATTCATATGTTAAGCTAGTTGATGTCTATTATGTCAAACACGTAATTCCTAAAAATAACTTATCTACAATAGAAAGGAAAGTTAATTTGTTGTTCAGTCGCATCCAACTCTTCATGATCCCATTTTCTTAGCAAAGACACTGAAGTGGTTTGCCACTTCCTTCTCCAGTTCATTTTGTTGATGAGGAAACTGAGGCAAACAGAGTTAAGTGACACAGCCAATAAGTGTCTGAAGCCAGATTTGAACTCAAGAAGACGAGTCTTTTTAACTCCAGGGCCAGCACTCTATCCATGTGCCACCCAGCTACCCCTATAAATCCTTTCCATTTTCATAACAATATCAGAATGTCTTTATTAGCTCAGATTCATAGTATATCTAATCCAGTAAGGAGTATATTGTGCAAGTTATGTCTTCCTTATCACCATCCTCAAATGTTATACCCTAAAATATCCTTAGTTCACTAACTAAGCTATTAACAGTCAGGTGTCCATGAAGGTATCTAAACCATTTTTTTTAATCAAGTTTTTCTGCTCATACTATCTCTTGGGATACTGTTGAAGTATACCACAGGGGCATAGTCTTTTGGGTCACTAAGCCATCACTTAATACCAAAATAACACATTGGGTAGCATGTAGTAATGTCTATTTAGTATATTGTTTTAATTACATTAAACTGACCTCTCTAAAGACGCAAATGTCCTAACATGTAATGACAAAGTAGATACAGTCCCAATTAATCTCATGTTGACAAGAGGGTGGACTGGACAATTTGCCGAATTTTTCTATTTCTTTAGATTTAATTAAACTGTTTCATATTTTCTCCTTTTTCATCCTCTCCCTTTTCTCACCAGTTCTAGCTAAACCTAATCCCAATATAAACAAAGTTCTTTCCTTTTTTGACTCTTTGTCCTATAGGCAAAAGCGGGTTTTTTTAAAAACCATTTTTAGTTAACTGTACATTTAGGATTACACAGAATGGAATAGGATTCCGCATTCCAATGATAATACAAGATACAAGAATTAGCAAGACCTGACTCTCATTTCTGGTTTGACCTTTACCTAACTATATGACCTTGGGCAGATGGAGGGAATAAAGTTAACCTTGATTTAGGGCACTATTGGAGATGAGTTGTAAGACCCTTAGATTAAAGTATATGTTCCTATATGCAATAGAAAATAAGAACTAGTTTGACAAGTAAGGAGATAATCAAAACCTTTGAGAGACCTCTGGGATTCCGATGAGCATATTACTGATCCAGTGATTCGAATGGGAACTGTCTGTGAAGCCAGTGAGTTATAGACCATTTAATGCGGCAGAAATGCACTGATTCGTATCTCTACAGTCTCAGTGGCTTAAAAAGGTATGGATTCCTAAGGCCTTGAATAATAAGAAACATAGGTATTAAGAAGTAGAATATAATATCAATTATATTCTATCAAACTATATGTAAAACTGAGTTGAAATAGGAAAACATAATTTATATGTACCCCAAACAAGAAATTTAAATTCTATACTTCAAAAAAGAAAACTCATTAAGTGACAAGAAGGCATAAGAACTCTTAAATAAAGACCAACCTTTTTGTTTAATTAGTTATTCTCTATATTACTAATATTATTTCAGAAATTCAGAATTAAATTTAATTCTTCCTCCTCCCTAGAGGTCAATATAACATACTTATAAACATCCACATACAGAGTAACACACTGGAGATAACCAATTCAGTTCTATTAGCTGAATTAGCTGTCTTTCTCAGAAGCACACATACTGTGTGATACTTGCTTTACGGAATGATTTCTTATTCAGATGTCCCTTTCCATATCCTACTCCCCAGTTCTTCAACAAAACCAAAAGAAATTACTTTTAAAACCACAGAATAGAAATTATGTTTTACTCACACATTCTCCAGTGCTTTGCTCTTCTGGAAAGAGAAAGTGAATATGTGGACATGGGTATTTGGTCCAGATCTGCAATTTCATCCTTATAGGGAAGTCCAACTGTAGAGTTACAGATGAGCAACTCTTCTGTAACTTAAAGTCTTGGAAAGTTATTTAGGGGGCAGGGAGAAGGTAAGTGACTTGTTGTGGGGGGGGATTCACAAGTTAAGTGACATCACTTAACCTTTTACACTGAAAGGGTCACAAAGCTAATGTATGTCAGAAGCTGGGTCTTCCTGATTCCAAGGTCAGCCCTCTATCCATTATAAAACATTGCTTCACACATCTGCTTAATGTGCAATAATATTCAAAGCATAGAACAAGTGTAATTCTGCCACATTGCATTTCATAGCATTTTTGGCCAGTAAATCATTCACATCAATGTAGTCATAGTTAGCATCAGCATTAATAAAGGAAACTATGTTCAAAGGGTATAAAACACATTGTTATTAACTGTTACACAACTCAGCTTACATTGTCCTAGCTCAAAAGTGCTTTCCACCATTCTATTATTTAATTAAAACCATAATTCGGAGTCAATTTAGAAATTATTTTAAGATCATAGTCAGTTAATATGGCAGTTTCCTTAACTTACTAAATTGAATAGTAGTTGCATATTTTTTAAAACAGCTAGCTAATTAACTCAGCAATGCATTTGCTTTGATTTAGTTCACTGAAAAATTTACACAAACTATGAGAAGACTCATTAAAGTACTTTGCAGTTATTCTTCCCATTCATTCAAATATTCTGAAAATTTTGTTCATGTACGTCCCATGTTTTGATGCTTAAAAATTCAAAATGAACTTGATCAGCATTTTTTTTTACTTCAGAAATTAACTCTAAGGCATAATTTGGCCTATCGAAAAGCAATAACAATCCCTCAGTTCTCTGCAGCCAGTAAGTATTTTAAATTGCCATCAGTATCAGACTAGCATACCAACTAATGGTAGCTGAGGATAAATAAAAATAAGAGTAAAGTAGGTGAAAAATAATGCAATGAACTCAGAGTAGACACATCACGTCATTTGACTTTCTTTCCATCATGCCATAAATTGAAATGGAACGCTATAGTAGAGTTCTGCAAACACTGCTGTACTCATTCACAAAAATTGCTATCTGGCCACATTAAGCAGCTTTAATAAAGTACAATGCACATTATGACATTTTGTTTAAGTACTGTTACACTCTCTCAACAACATCAGGTATAAGATGCATGTTAAAACCTTCTGGAGTAACAGTTTTCTTTTGGAAGATCAAGGAACAACAGTTTGAAGGCAAACAAGTTAAATCACAGGCTGGAAAGTAAGGACTCTTTAACTCTTGTTGCTCCTCACCAGCATTTTCAGACTTAGGATTTGTTACACCTCCAGCAAACTTGATTAGTCTTCAGCATACCATTAAAAGATCTCAGAAGTGCAGCTTTAAAAGTGAAAACAATCCTGGTTCTGTAAGGAGGTGATAAGAATCACCTCCAGTTTTCATCTGAAATCGAACAAGCTTCTTTCCCCAAGTGGTTGTGGCATCTTAATTCATCCATCATTCATTCCCTAGTTATTAGTCTCTTCTACTCCTTTTGTATTCGTTCCCCTCCCCACCCCCTCCAAGGCGCCTGAGTGAGCCTCCCCGCATCGCAGCAACTCAATGAAATCTTGTAGCTTGACTGGTCATCTATGCCCACGGACAAAACTGCCTTCATGTACCATTGATTTGCCTGGGAAGGCGCACTTCTGCGCACTTCTGTCTTCGATTGAGCATTACAACAGTTGGGTCATTGGGCAAAGCTCGGCTTTCTATTTATTGCATCCATTAGAATCACTTTGGTATTACTAGGCACCTCTTTGGGTACTTAACTAAAATTGCGTAGCCGTGCGCCTAATTTGCAAATGCTTCCTAACCCCCTCGCTCCCCCTCCCTTTTTTTTTAAACAGAAGTTTGTAAGTTTCTTTCTTGCGTAAAGATGAGAACAGATCTACATATCCTTAGCCCCAACTTCCCAAAGGTTACAAGATCCCACAAACTTTCTCTTTGGACAGGTTCGTTTAGGGAACTCTATGGTGCACACTAGAGGACTCTTCTTCCCCCAGAGAGCTGCAGGAGAGGCAGCAGGAGCGGCAGGAGGGACAGCACTTACCTTCGCTTCCCCCAGATCCGGTTCTTCCTCGTAATAGCCCTGTCCCGACTCATAAGCCGCAGCTGCGGCGGGCGCCCGAGGTCCCAGGAGCAGAGCTGCAGCAATCAGGGAACAGACCAGGGAGAATAATCCCAGCAAGTGCATGGTGAACAGGCTCCTTGGGGGGGGTTGGGGCGGGGTGGGGAAGGGGTGGGGGAGACTAGTGCGTTTACGGGGGGGCAGGGGGTGGGGGCTTGGGTGCCCCTGCAATGATGAGCGCTCCTGGTTTTCCTTGCCCCCAATATCCAGCCAGTAAAAAGCCTGGGGGACGGACAAGAGGCGGCAGCGGTGGCGGCTCCGTTGCGCGGGGGCTCCAAACTTTTTTCAAGTTGCTCTCTAAGTAACTGCCGTGGAAAGTCGGAGCTTGTCAGGTAAAAACCCTCACAGGAAACCGGACATCCGAGTTCTCCTCATTCAGGAGACTGGAGGTGAAGGGAGAGCAAGAGAGAGAGAGAGAGGAAAAGTCACCCTCTCCTTTTGTTTTTCTTTGGGGAGGGGAGAAGTGCATAAACACCCCCCCTTTAAAAAGTCTTAAACACCACGGATTGTTCCCCCCACCCCCCTCCTCCTTTCCCCTAAGTAACCCCCCGAGGGGGCAGCAGCAGCTGGAGAGTCTGCAGTGGGGGTGTTGGGGCAGTTGGGGGGCGGGGGGGCAGAAGCAGCGGCGGAGACTGCTGCGGCTCAGTCCCCTGACTTGGCCAGCTCCGGGGCTCCTGGCAGCGACACGGGCAGCGGCGGCGGCGGCGGAGGCAGCAGCAGCAGCAGCTGCAGGGTCCCGGGTGCTCGGGCGTCCTCAGCGCGTGGAGCTGTGCGGCCTCGGCAACGGCAGCAGCAACAGCGGCGGTCGCAGGGGGAGGGCATGACTGATGCGCCCTCTGCCTGCGCTTATGTGAGAGAAAGCGGCTGACGGAGGGAGCGGGTGAGCCCTGTCCTCCCTCCCCTCTCACTTTCCCTCGGAAGCCTCTTGCACTCGAGCTCCCTCCCCCCACCTACTTTCTTACCCCTCCCCCTCCACGTGCAGTCCCCTTGCCTCGTCTTGGCTGTAGGAGCAGAAACCTCAGCCCTCGGGGCTGGCCGTTTCCTAGTAGGAAAGGCAGCAATTTTCTTTTCCCTAGCTTTAGAGGCTTGTGTGGCAGTGCTAGGTAAAGTTTCGTGGAATGGAGAAATGGGTGAACTTGGGACATGGGTGCCGACCCCTTGAGGGCTTTTGCAAGTCCTCGGAACCCCTCCAGCTCCTTGCAAGCCTCTTCTTGCTTCCCCTGGCTACAGGCTTTAGCGCTGCTTGGGAGTTCTAAGTGAGAGTTCCAAGTGAAAGTCATCAGCAGCATGGCGGAGATCCTGCGGGAGATACCCCCTCCCCCCTGTCCTTCTCCTTTGTAGGAACTGGGAGTCATGGGACGGGAGCAAGAACAGAGGGTGTTAGCCGAAAAAAAAAATCAGTGAAGAGTGTTGTCAGTTTGGATGAGCGAAATCTTAAACTTCGGGCAGCTGGCAATTGGGGGAGAGATAGTGGTGCTTAAGAAAAGCCCTATAAGCCAATGTCTGGATTTCTGCTTCCTGTGAAGGACACAATCAATTATGTACTGAGTATCTGCAAGTAAGGTCCGAGAGCTCCTGGACACACCAGTATTGAAGTGATTTTTGCAGTAGGAAGCGGTATTTAAGATGATACATTTCCAGCCGGGGGATACCTAGTCTAATGTCCTGCTTTCATAGATGAAGAAATTGAGGCCCACAGAGGTTGTGTATTGCTCAAGGCTACACAGAAAGGAACAGGATTTGGATATCCTCTATGTGTCCTTAAGTCAAGGTCCCTTGACTCTAGTGCTAACACTTTCAAAGACACCACACTCTCTCACCACTCCAAAAATGTTTGAGTGATTCACCCGGTGAACACCAGATTCTGGTGCTTACTATAGTGCTTTACACCTAATAAGCACTTAATAAAGGTTCATTGATTATCTACCTCCTTAAACTAATTTTGAGTTCTGGGGGTAAAATGTGCCACAATTTCCCTTTCCTTCATAAATGGTGTTTAAATATTGTCTAAGGTAACTAACAATATTTATCAATTAAATGATTTGAGTGTACACAGATGTTGCCTCTGCTCTTCATTTCTTTTCTCAACCACATTGTTTTATTCAAATTCTCTTACTCTCACCAGTTTTTATTCTAGGCCAAACACAAGGACAGAAATAAATACGAAGGAAAATGATGCTTGTCTTATCCAAAAGATAATCTTAGGCACATTGGTAGTGCCTTGGAAAGTGCACTACATGTACAATGGGAGAACCTGAGTTCAAATTCTGTCTTGGGCAAGTCACTTCATTTGACTAGGTCTCATTTTCTTTTGCTGTAACATGAGATCTTTGGATTGCATGACCCAATGAGGTTCTTTCCTACGCTAAATCTATGAACTAGAAATAGTATTATCTTATACTGCCATTGAAGTATCTCTGGAAACTTTATAGGAATATATAGTCACTATTTTCATTCACTCATCCAACAAATATTCCTTAATTACATTCAATTCAATAAGTATTTATGAGTCATTTACAAGGCACTATGCTAGGTACTATGAATATAAAGACAAAATGAGTGTGAACAGAAGGGCTCTACTTCTGTGATAGGTACTAGGAGAGTTATAAAATTTAAATGACATTCTCCCAACAAGTTTATAAGTCTAGTAAGTAGCTTGCATTTACATACCATTCTATAGTTCACAAAACATTTTCCTCATAATAACACTATGAGAGAGATATTGTGAGAATAATTCCATTTTACCTATAAGGAAATGTGGTGCCAAGAAATAAGGAGTTTGCACAGTTATATATAGCTAGCATGTGGCAAAGTTGGAAATTGAACAGATTTTCTGATTCAAATTCCCATGAAGCTTTTCCCCCCACTAAAGCAAGATGCCACTTAGTAAATTGCAATAAAAGGACTCGAGTTGCCAATATTCGTATAGACATTGGAGATAGAGCCTGTTTGTATGATCTATGGACCATGGTGTCCTCCTACTCTTATAAGAATCCTTCAAGCAGTAACATTTCCAAATCTGCAAAGTCAAAAAGCCTGGGTTCAAATCCTGTTATGACACATTGCCTGTATTACCCTAGCCTTTAAGTCCCAATTAAAATCACATCTCCAATAGCAAGTCTTCTGTAACCCCTCTTAATGCCAGTGCCTTCCCTCTGTTGGTTATTTCCATTTATCCTGTACATGTTTTGCATTGTATATATTTGTTTGCATTTTGTCTTTCCCACTAGATTTTAAGCTCCATGAGGTAGCGACTGCTTTTTGCCTCTTTTATATCCCCAGTGGTTTGCACAGTTTCCAGCACATAGCAGGTGCTTCATGTTTATTGAATTGAATTTCACCTCTTTGGAGCTCAGCTTCCTCATCTAGAAAATGAGGGTGGAGTGGAACAGATGGTCTATAAACCTCTTCTAGCTTGAAATCTGATGATCCAAAGAATCTAGAAGTGAATTTATTCATTACCCTAAGCAAAACTTTTAGTTTCTGATCCAGCAGTAGAGAAATGAAAGTATGCCTATGATTATAAGAATGTGAGCTCCTTGAAATCAGGAACCCTCTTATTTTTCTTCTTGTATCCCAGGCTTAGCACAGTGCTTTACATATAATAAATGCTTCATTCGTTATGATATTTGTCATTGAAATAGCCAATGATATACTAATTAGTCCCTACCCACCTACATTCAAAAAATAAAAATAGAAATAGAAATTAATGAAGAAAGCTAGAATGTCCTTTGAAAGACTAAGGATACAATAAATGCAGCATCAGTTTTGAGACAAAACTAAACATTGTGCAGAGCAATGGCATTCACTATGGTGTATAGTGTAAAGAACACTGGAAAGGTATCAGAAACTAGATGCTAGCAGTTCTCATCTCTAAATAAAAAGGATGGGTTCCAGTTTTGAAATTGTATGAGCCTGAAGAATATCATCAGCATCATCTCCAAGATATGTTTAGTCATGTAAAAAGTCCGGAATATAGTCAGTTTACCAACAACACAATATAACAACACAAATCTACTGGGTAGACTGTATGTTCAGAAAATGCCATTCAGTTGCCCAAACAGCCAGTAAATGGCAAACTGAAGTGGGCTGACTAAAAATGGGGTGGTCAGACAAAATGCTGAAAAAAATGCAGGGACTTTATCATGTGATCCTGTATCCCAGTGGCCAAAGGCTGAGAAATGCCAGCAGCAGCTGCCTCAAGAGGACATTGAAGCATTCCTCAAGAGGACAGCTAGCTCCAGTCAAGGATGAGACAGCTCTTTTTGAGCAGTGGCTTAAGTATGACCCACATAGGGAAGGGTGCAAATATCAGTGCTATAACTAGGGTGGGAGCAACCAGAGGTTTGCTCTAAAGCTCTAAGTTTTAGTGGGTGTGGATAATACCAGCAGTCCTTCAGCATCTTAATAATAATTGAATTATGACCTACTTTTGTGTTAAAACAGGAAGCTATCAGGAAGTATGAGCCTACTCCCAGGCAACTTCTCCTTTTCCATCCATTTCCCTTCAACTGAATGCAGGGTGACTTTTGTGCCACTCACCATAAAGGTACAAAAATTGCAAATTTTGTCTCTGAGAAATATAGTGGCCTATGTAGCAAAATACTTCCCATCTATGGGCTGGAAGACACTTAGACAACACTACAAATATCACCAACTTCTCTGTAAACTGAAAGATTACTTTTAGGTATGAGCAACAGAGGAAAAAATATTTGTTATTCATTCTTTTTTCCCCCATATATTTGCATATAAAGATAGTGAACATCGATAATAGTGTCAGTACAATTCAAGAAACATTTATTAAGTTGCTACTATAAGTACTGTGTTAGACACTGGAGATAGAGAGAGAAATGAAATAAGGCATGATCACCACCCTCAGGGAGCTTAAAATACTGTGGTCTCCTATCTCAAGGAAACTAGGAAATTTGTAAATGCAGGATCTTATTTCTAATAAATATTGTATTGACTATTAAGGTTAAATAAATTCCTTAAACTCAGTAAGTATTATATGTTGAGAAAATTTATAAATACTAGTCTATCCAACAGACTTCTTCCCCCTCCCACCTT